GTACAGTTCCTATCGAATATGGGTTTAAATGGCACTCCGAAGCTAAGCCAGGACTGCTCAAATCGACAGTCGCGACACAAGTGCGGCTAAAGTTGTTAGGGCCCACTGGACATAAAAAAACGCGTAAATATGTAGGGCGGAGTTAAGCTTGCTGTTGTGTCGCATGGTTCGAGTAACTCATCTGCTCAACTAATAAATTTCCAGTCGGCCCTAAGAAATGCGAAAGGTTCTAGTGGAAGTAAAGTCTTTCTTTTAATTGCAGGTTATAAATACAGGGGCAGTAGCTAAGACATTTTCATTGATTTGTAATTTAGTACATTTTTAGTGCAAAATGCTAAAGAATGTGAACCGATGGGGAAGCTGACAGTCAACTCCTACATTAGGTGCTATCTTTTGCATTAGGGTCAGTAAAATTCGTAAAAATAACACGAAATACTACGCCCTGAGCAGTATCTTTGAGGTCCTTTTTTAACGTAACCTATAATTTGTTAATAAATTCTGAGCATTGAGGGGAGTTTTTAGACGTTTATGTATTTAGTTCTTGAAGAAGTGGATAAAAAATAGCAACGCGGAGAGATATACATCTGGCTTTACAAGTTGAATATTGTTTTAAGCACCTTAGGTGACCAACTATCGGTCAAGAAATTAACTTCAAATCACTCCTCTCTCCCACTCGCTTTTCAACTTCGTGCACGAGGCTGGCTGGCGCGTCGAAATGCTTTCTGCAATTGAGCTTTATAAGTTGCAGAAAAGGAGTAGGGTATGTTTCTCTGGTCATTCTTACATTCAGCTTATGGTCGAGTAAGGCAACTCTATTTTACGATACCTTTCTCGTTTCCGTAATGTGGTCTTTTCTTAGGACGCGGAGCAAGAGTCGATTTATCAAGACGTCGTTAAAGCGGTTAAAAAAACCGCTGAGGAAATGGACGTTAAGCCGCAATTACCAGCTGTCACGGCCAAACGGAAGAAGAGAAAGCGAAGTCGTGGAAAATCAGGTAAACTGAACAGAGCCTTAAAACGTCCTAACTCATCTGATGGAAAAATTTGAAACGCTTCAAATTTTCTTCCCAAGCCGAACAAAATGAGGAAGAGGTGGAGGTGAAATCAGAGCCAGAGGAGGGCGAGCACGTATCCATTCCCGAACTAGTGGAATCCGAAGGGGAACACGCTATCGATGAGCCGCCTATTCTGGGTGACAGAGCTGTTAATGCGCTTGCTCTTGGAGAAACTCTAATGCAGATCCTTCTCGGTGGAGGCTCGTTTGTGAACTTCCTAGAGTAGGCATCCACTAGTTTCGACTTCCGAATTTAGCAACTATTATGGCCTGAAACCAATGCATTCCTCGTGTGGAGAGGTGAGACGGAACTTCAATTGCATTTTCCCTGTTCAAATGATGGACAGATTGATTGCTGAAGAAGAACTGTTTTTCGAATATGACGTGGAGATTATTCCGTCCCCTCGGGAAAAGAGCAAACCACCCAAGGAGGGTCGTGCCTATCGGTCGATTGTTTGGGGTCAATTTGGGGTGAGCTTGTTTTGCTAATTTCTGCATCGAGAAATGTCCTATTTGGTCGAGCTGAGCTTCTTACGTTATAACTGGTGAGGTTATGAGATGGCCTTATTGCACGAGAGATGGTCGCTCCACCTGAATCTATTTAACTGTGTTTACGCCTAATTTTTATGCATTTTTGGAAATACTTTCTGTCTTTTAGAAAAAGTAGCTTGCTTGTGTTTTCAAAATTTTGCGACTAGTCGTGGCACTGCCAATTGTTTGGCATTCTTCAGTTCTATTTATTGGGCCTGTGTATATTCAATTGCTGTAAAGGTGTGGTCTTTTAAAACTTAGCTCGCATCTTGTATGAATGATCTTCGAAATTTCAGTTGTTTACCTCACTGGTACTGATATTGGCACATTGGAATTCCCCCTCCCCCAAGATACGGATAGAAATCATTGGATTTTGTTTCCTCATTTTTAAATCTTTTTGATTGAAACTGATGTGCAATTTGACCTGACCTGTTTTATAAATGCGGGTTAATCTGTTCTCGGGGCCGTGGAAGCCTCTAGAAAACTATGTTGCGTCGCATTCGGAAAAGGGACAATAGCGAGATCATTTGGCTGCATTGCAGAATTCCGCATTGCCGTGCTATGACTGATTGAAAAGATCTCGCTTTGCTGTATTTATTATCGTACAGGGAGTGATTTATTCTTCGACTTTCGCTGTCCATGGCGTGGCTGTCCACATTTAAGTAAATTCTCATTCCACAATTTGGATGCTGCCTTAATGCATTAAAATTGGTATTTCTATATTTCATCTTCAGGTAAAATTTGACTTTCCGTGAATATCACTCGGAGGTGTCTTCCTAATTGGTGATGCCACTGCCTGGGAGTCGAACTCCGTGCGCCCTTCGCTCTGATCGATTCAATCATTGCTCAGTTGTGTTCATAATCCATACCGAATGGTTCTTTTGCATGATACATGCTCGACTGAAGTTTCCTTTCGGAGGGGGGCTTCTCACCTCACGTCAATCTACTCGTTGCGCCGTTGGTTTATTTCACCTCATTGGCTAGTCACGCCCTCACCCCGCTAATCACACTTCCTTCGTCGTGTTAGTGCTTTGATCTACCCTTTCGATTCACGGTAGCTATAAACGGAGGTTAACCCCACCCATCCGTGTTCTACTATATCCAGGAGCACACACATTGTTGTGGACTCCCTTTTATGTCATTCATTGGTATATTCTGGTTATAAAGTCTTTTCCCTTCCCACTCCTCTCTAGATGGGTGCTAGTATTCGGATCCTCCTTCCTGAGCGTTTTAACACTAAACTTTCCGCACACCTCGGCTTCCTTCAGGAGGTCATCAACGGTCCTCTATACTCAGTCGTCACTTTTGTGAATAAGCAATTCGTCGGGCCTCTCTTCAATCCCTCCAGCCCCTCCATTTACCTGCCTGGTGACATGTTTATCATCGTTATGGAGGGTTCTCTCGACATTGACGTCCTTTCCCCCAAGGATGGGGAAATGGAGAGTCAGCAACACGAGCTAAAGGGCGTTTTTGTATCCGGTGATGTAGTCTATATTCCTTATCAGTTTAGTCACCGCGCAAAGCTCTCCGGCGGCAAGATCCCCCATGCCATTGCCCTATGCATTGTCAACCGTGCCCCTGTATTGGTTGAGGAATGTGGACAACACCTTCTCAAAGTACGACCTTGTTTATTCGTATCTCATCATTCTAGGCCTTGCATTTGGAAGGGCCGAAGAATAAGGAACGCAGCCTATTCCGTGAACTCCTAATTTCCACGCACAACAATCCAAAGAATGCATCCGATATTCTGTATTTTGTGAGTTGAGTAGTTGCAGTTGTTGATGACGACGATTGTGTAGGACCTCAACGCGGAGGAGGAAGTGGAGTTGGTTCTCCGCAAGTGGTTGAAGGGCGAAGATGGGGTATGTACGAAGGAGGAGGCGGAGGCGATTAATCAAGAAGCAAGCGAAATGAGGCAGCTGTTTATTGAACAATCGGTGGCTGTAAGATTGAATTTCAGTGAGTTTTGATTGTTTAGTACATGTCAAAACCATAGTTTTATCCGACGGATGACCACGATTCATTGCTCGCACTGAGTTTGGAACCTAGGTGTTGATTGTGTGAGTCAATGATTGGTGTAACTGGGGTAAATTGAATTGTGGAGGTTATGTAAATAGAAAGGCAGGTGGATCATAGGATTGGTCTTCGCTGTTCCCACTCAAGTACAATCCATCAATCCGTCCTGAGCCCATCCAGCAACTTCGGATAGTCAAAATGTTTCGGTACCGAGGATATAGTTCTCATAGCTCCTCGCTCAATCTCGACGACCTTAGTCTTTCAGCTGGAATACTCGCCAGGCTTATTTATGGGCAAGAATTTTTAGAAGCACCGGGAAAGGCTGTCCTGTTCTTCAAAGTGGACGCTTTTCTTTTGTGGCACTTCCCTTAAACATCCATTAATTGGGGTTACAGTCTCCATCCATTTAAAGTAGGCTCGTCGGCGCTCCCACCATTGTAGTTTTTGAGTCACCCTGGGTATCTATCACCTGTTCTTCCCAGCTCGAAACATTTCATGCGAAGATTTTACGAACATAATAATCTTTGAGACTCCGTTTTCTCAGTGCCAGTAATGTGAGTGAGGTGTGAAGAAAATCCTGTAGGTTTTTGCTAGGTAGAACGCTACGGATAGCCTCGACGATGGAAATATTGCAGTAGGTTTACCGCCTTAGTGGGGAGAGAAGATACCCTCTGCAAAACTTGGAATAGCTCTAGTTTTGTGTAGAACATCACCTTCACTGGTTATCTCCAAAGCTAAATTGGAATACATGAGCAATCTCCCTACCCAGGTCTTCTTATCCATGGCAGCTTGTTACGATGTTTACCCTTTGGATCTCACCTTTACATCTCCCGATCGTACCTCCCTAGGCTGTAGAATAATCTCAATCTTCGGGTAAAGGTGCGGCAAAGCTCTGGCATCTACTATTGATCTAGCTAACCCGGAATGAAAGGGGGAATTGTGTGGGCGGGGAGGTTAGGATGATCGAGGAAAAGACGGCGCTCTCAGTAGCTTATTAGATTGATAAATTGATGCATGCATCAAATCGGTTTACGTACTTGCTGTTAACTTTAAGCTGAGGAGGCCGGACATGCGACCTTCTTCGGGCCAATTTGGGATGATCCCAACTTCATCGACGCCGAGGGAGATGAGGACGCAGAAGCGCAGATAGAACGGCTTCCAAATCCGCGTGCGGAAGGCTGCGTCAAATTTGATCGAGAGATGGAGTCGGAGACGATTATTCGTCTCACTCGCCGCTCAGCAATAATTCTACTAAGAAGGCGTAAGGATGATGATGACGGCTTTTGCATCCATCATAGTCTCTGCAACAGTCGGGATGCGAGGGTCGAAAATGGAACGACTTGCTTGCGGATGTCCCGGAAGGTAGGTGGATGAAAGTAAAACGCATCACTTTTGCTCACCCCTCCTAGCTTCTCCCAATAGTCGAATGGCTGATCGCTATTTACCCTGAAGATACTATGGTTTGTGACCTACCTGGAGATAATATAAACGATCAGGTAAGTGGTTGATTAGGTTATTTCTTACCTCCCTTATTTCTAGATGAAAGCGGTCAACGTTCTTTTTGACGCCGGGTTGATTCTTTCCCCCGTGGCTTATGAGGAATCTGCGATTGATTATGAAGCAGAGGAAGGAGCGGGTGAAGAAGGACGAGGGACAGAAAGAGGGGCAAGCAGAGCCTGATGGAAGCGATGATGAAGTGGACGTGAAGCTAAAGTGTCGTTCTAAAATACAGTGTGATGGGCTCTTCGGATCCGCGGTTTTCGTGGGCATGCAGGATGGATGGGTGGGTTTGTGTTAGGCCGCCCGACGGTTGTGTTCATTCGCACGTTTGATTTGCCACATTGCAGCGTAAAACTTCCGGAGGGTCACACGTAAGGTGTGAGGGTGTTTTTTTAAACCCAAATACCAATTACAGCTTGTTTGTTTGTCTGAACAGTTTCGACCGCTTTGACGACCTTGACGGCTTTCAAATGTGGTGCTTTTTTGTATATACTTTGTGGTGCCCTAGGTCCAGTTTCTGCAGGTGAGAGTTCATAATAAATGTAATTTGACAAGTTTCTAAGTTGGCTGAATGTCGGAAAACCCTTTAATGACTAGCTTTTATTGGGTCGCTGGCCTATTAATTTGCATATCTTGGCTTTATTCTGTCGTCACTAGGTACCCCTTGTTTTTTGATTAAGTAGACTGTCGTATTTTACCTTGACAGTTTTGTGCAGATGTTTTGAAAATTTACAGTGCTCACATAATGAAGGGATAATGTGGGGTTGCTTTGGAAATGTGCCTTAATTACTAGTTTGTATCCTACTTGAATATATGCTTGTTCTGCTGAATTCCAAAGAAATTCCTGAAGTTGAAGATGTGGTTTGGAGTCTTGAGCTACCTTTTTTACAAGATAATTGGCACAGAACTGAATTTTTCTAGCCGGGTTTATGCAACCAGAAGCCGTCTAACGCCCAAATCTCCCGTCTGAGAACATGAGTTATCCTACGACTTTCTTTGTGGCGCTAATTTTGTGCTGCACCCCTCTTATCCTTTCAATAACGGCCCAAAATACTCCTGAAAGTTACTTAAATTCTCCATTCAACCATCATTCAAAGCTGTCTTCCTCCTTTCGCGTTGGATGTGACTGTTACTCCGTTCCAAATTGCTTCACCAATTGCTCTGACGGTTAGTTAAGATGCCTTTTCTCTTTGTAATCAATGTATGTATGTGCGCCTGCTCATCGCAAGAACAGTTTAATTAATCCTACAGATTTTTTCTTGCCCAAGGTATGTTAGTTGACCAATCGTAATCCCGCTTGCGTACCTTGAAATGGACCATTACTGCTTGATATGTAAGATAGCGGTCGGATTAAGAAAATACTCTGCAAGTAAATTTTGCTAGTCTTTTCCCGTTGGATGTTATGCAACCATCTCCTCAACTTTTTCAAAGTTCTCACTTACCGCGACAGTGACTCACCTCCGTCGTCGATGCTGACTAATTTCACTGGCAGCTTCTCTTCTTCTGATTGGCATTCTGGAGAGGCCATCTTGGACAGACCAACCAGTCCGATCGTGTCCGTGTGCGCGTGCATACGTGTTCGGTAGTTCGACCATCAAGTGGACACATCAAAGGCGGCAGAGAAGCTGGCCGCGTGCACAGGCGGTGTGCATGTGTGTGCTGCCTCGTACGTACGTACGTGGATTTGCACGTATTCACGACTAACAAAAATAGCGACTTCCACTGTGCACGAATTCCACTTTTTCTCCTGCTGCTTCTTGTTCCTTCTCATTTTTCCGCCTTTGGCCCATTCCTGGGGCCAGAGGCGGGTCTGAAATGACTTGAACTTGATAACGAATTATAATGTGGAAGTGCGCCTGGTTTTTTACGAGGGACCTAACTGTGTCTCTACCGAAAAGTCATTTTGGATACTTTTGATTAGTTATCGCCTCTACGGATTGGCCGTTATTTATCTTTTCTTTATTTCTCTAGCAAAAGTACTTGACAGGCAATTATTTGTTGGCATCATTGATGGATTTGACCTAAGTAAGATGATTAAGGGTATTCTTTGGGTGTCCGAAGCCTATTCCAGTCATGCTTCAATCTTTTGCGCATCTTATTTTACCCGGAAAAGGCGAATGTTTTTTCTCAGCTGAACGACTTGATTGATTGACAGTCATAAATTCGACCGGAGTGATCTGTGGACGTTACTTGGTGAGATAGATGCAATCGAATTACTCAATTTTTCAGAACCGATTTAACCTGGATCATATTTTTTTCTTAGAAGTGCCAAGCTTGGTGGATAAGTAGTGTGGTCGATTCCCTTTATTTATTCATCTACCTACCTACCGTCTGTCAAAAGATCGCTTTTAGGTATGGTTCGTGCTGGTCAAGGTGCGGCTACATTTATTTATTTGCTGATCAACTAATTCTAGACAGCAATGACCGCTGAGACTGGTTTACTTTCCATGAAGAACTGTCGACCTCTCATCCTTTTAAAGAGGTCAAATTTATGTCTCCCCTGCAATCGGTTGTTCAATAACTAATTGAGTTGCCATAGGAAGAAATGCTACATCTTTCCTTTTTCCCCAATCACTAAGTAGGTGGATGTCATGTTTTATTTCTGATACTCATTCAATTATCAAAGTATTTCAAAGCTGTCAAGATGGGGTTATAATGACTTGCCGAGTACATACTTAGTTTGTGTCCATTATTATGCGAATCACTTTTAATTTGAAAATTAAAACTTTCTATACAGAAGCAGTCTACTTGTTAAAAATCGTTGATTTCCATATCCATTTATTGGGTTTCAATCATAGGTTTGTTTGATTGCGCCAATGGTCGTTACTGCCGATTCCTACTTGTCACATTGACGACAAGAGTTGTGCCATAATAATAATTTCAGCTAATCAGTCGGCCATTCAATCCATCAATCAGTTAGTCTCCTATTGATAAGTGGTAAACCCTACGTAATGAATCTACTTCCCTAACCATCGATCGGTAAACTCTTCCCAACGCGGAGTTATAGCAACAAGCATGATGCATCTCCTTTGTACCGAGTGGACAAGCAGGGTCAATATCATCTGCAACCCGATGACAACCAGAAAGCAACTGAGTCCTCCAGGTGTTTCACCGCCTTCCCTCTGCTCAATTGGGCTTCAGGTCTTCGATGTCTTCCTGTCATCGTAATTGTGAGCCAAATGTCCTCCAACCATCCCCTAATCACACACGATCATCTGAAAATCGATTAACCCTTGGTTCTGAGTAAATTTTGCCCCTATCCATTCCTCTTGATGCAGACAAACAGGTTGGATATGCCATGTCAACGACTGTGCCATCTCTTTTCCTATGACTGTCGATCTGTTTACTCGTTGACTTCGAACAATCGGAAGCGCACGCGAATACCTTGATAAAAATCGATATTTCGCATCTTTGCATGATTGGCTAATTAGGTAGATTTGTAGGTCGACACGCAAATGCGAATTTTTCAGTACTTGGACATTGAAATCAAACGAGGGGATATGGTCCTCCATTCATCATACTGCTGGCCAACCCGTATGCTTGTCTCACAACCAATCAGAACACTTCTGGTTGACTGATGAGACCACAGTGTTAGAGACCGATGGAGGGTGTTTGAACGCCTCTGCCTGGTTTTTATTTTCGCATCTATAAGTTCGCGGCTGTTGTGGCGAATTGTGTGCACAAGTGGTGAAAAGCTGAAAAGCGAATTAGTCACCAGCAGCCTTTTTATTGCAGGCACACACGCTCAGAAGCTGTAAAGGTCAATTGCGAATGGGAGCCAATAAAATTCCGGTCATTTGTGGGAGAGAGAGGCAGTGTGTTTAGCAACTTCCACAAATTTTTTGCGCCCGCTTTTGAAAATTATTCCACACATCTGCCTGTCTGAGTGATCTTGATCGAAAAGTTTCGCTTGATAGCGCCTACTTGAAAGGGAAAAGGTGACTATCTTAAAATGTCAGATGGGATTTTGTCCCAGCGACCACAAACTACCGATTGGAATGGCGTGAAAAGGATGCAGAAGGCCGGACTATCAGACCACTTTGCGTTTCAAGCTTTGGTCTTAATGCTGCTGTACAATGACCATTGCAACCAAGACACTAGTGGAGATGGTTGTTCTCACCCATCCGTGAGACGGGAACGGATGTGTAGATGTCAGCGAGAGTCCTCATACCACACGGTTCTCTCTCTGTTAGTCCAATTACATTCGGGTAGGGCGGAGGATAGGGAAGGACATTCATTCGTGAAGCATAGAACTGAAGACTGAACGATGTTCCACAACGATCTCACTTTTAGCTTACATCTCGGATATCAATCCTCCTTTGCAACCTTCCGAAACTTTGAAATTCAACGTTGGGGGAGGCTCTGCCCATACACCTAGGTTATTTGACGTGTTTTGCAGTTCTGTTGCCCTAGTCATATTCCAAACTTTTCCTTGCAGTTTCTGGTCTTCTACCGCAACTGCAGGCATCCAGTCAATTCTTGCAATCCCTTCCCACTCCATTCTGTATAACTAGGCCCGAACAACTACGGAAAAGGGGTCCCAAGTTCGACACTTCCACGGCGAATAAAAGGGTAAGTTGGAAAGATTCTTGCGTCCCCCCCCCCCCCTCCTATCCTAAGTATAGTCCGTTTACTGTGGTCTCTGTGCTGTCATTTTGGTGTCAGCAAAGCGTTGCTCTAGGCGAGCTGTGTTTCGGAGGGAGGGCGCCTCATCAAACATGCGAGAACATGTGTATGTTGTCCACTTTGCGCATGAATAGGTGCATGCTTTAAGAAAAAAAGAAGGAAAGCGAACCCCTTTTTATAATCGTTCTAAACCTGGAAAACATTCTTCCCCTCCTTGAATTAGTTTCACCTTTGCAAGAGGAAGCAACATTTTTGTGGTTCAAAGGCGTGATACGAGAAGGCAGTCTGGAGGTAGGTTTATTCAAAACATGCAGAAAGGACTGCGCGACTGTCACCGGCGCGGAGATGAGGTAGCAGGAAACTGAAAAGACCCACGCAGTCGTTGTGTCGTAAAGGCTCCTTTATCTACTTTTGATTATCTTCCTCTCGACACTCCGTGGTCATTCTGCATCGACGATCACGACGGATTGGGGTCGTTTACGAGGCAGAACGCAGAACGCTACTGATGTATCTCACAGCAAGCATTTTCCACCCTCCGTTGCAGTGGCTTCACCCATCGCTGTTACCATTGCAGTGTGTTAGTCTCTTCTTAAAACCTGATAAGGTGCACTAGTCTGGAGATGCGTTTGCTACCAACATACAAAGGGGCTAAGAGATTGCTACTGGCCTGAGGGTCAACAAAATGTGTACCTTCTTTTTTGATTACAAATGCGCTAACTTGTCAATCAATGCCTCATTTGTTAAGTGGACTGATTAATGCGTTGAATTTCAGGGTTAGTTACCCTTACCTTACCCAATAAAATGTGAGCCTTCACTGTACCAATATAGGAAAAGAAGTGACACATTCTGAGGTCGCCGGAAGTTTGTCGAGGCGGTCCTTTGTGGAGGCGAAGACCATCCGTTAATTTGTGAATTGAATGAGGTGGAAATACGGCCTGTTGAAGTAGCTTAAGAAAGGAGCGTGCGGCAACTGATGTGACTGGAAGGCCATGTCACCAAGGCGGGATTGAAAGGCCCTCCTAATTGGATACTACTTTTGAATGGGAGTATCATCTTGCTCCATGGCACTTTCCCTCATTTAGGCCTCATCTTCGGGACTCCCTTGACCCCTCTTCGTTGTCGCCTTAATGAGACTGGAGTGAAGGCTACCTAGTGGTGGTTGTAGTAGGCCTGTTCGAGCTTCTTCAATTGTCGCGAACTGCATCAAGGAAGAATCCACTCGATGGTTGATTGATGTGTCATTTGCTTTTAAAGGCGTGAGTCCTTCTTTGAGGTTGATTTGGATTCGTTGGAATCTAACTTGTCTCCATTAACATTCATTTCGAGATGGGGAATTTGTCAAGGGTGGGCATCAGTGGGTGAGCCTCCTCATAGTTCCTTGCTGCTTAGGTCCGATTCTGCTTCCCTGGTGTCACAAATTAGGCACTCCGGGGTCGGCATTAGATTTATTACCGTACAGAGGAACACGACCAGATGGTCATGCTGCTAGGATGGCGGTACTTACCTGCAGAGACCAAAGGCTCCAAGTGGTTAAATATTCTAAGAACCTCATGACTGTTTACAAATTGAGGTATTTGTTGCCTCACAGATCTGATTCAAATACTTTACCGTGTCCTAAAACCATCAAAAGGAGAATTTTTGTTCTCTCCAAAATCAAAAAATCTATCCTTTTAGCCTCAAGAATGCACGGTCTGTTGTCTAAGTTGCCCCAACCACGAGACGAAATTATTGGTCACATAATGACCTCTATATCCAGGTTTAAATTCGGTAGTTTGTCACTTTTACACGCAAAAAAACCGCAAGTGGGGGAGGGGGCAATAGAAGGTAGTTCACTCCTTCATT